ATGAAACAGCCGCACACTCGATTAAAATCAGTTTCATACTCCATAGCAACAGTCCACACTCCACAGCAACAGTCCACACTCCACAGCAACAGTCCACACTCCATAGCAACAGTACACACTCCATGGCAACAGTCCACACTCCATAGCAACAGTTCAAACTCCATAGCAACAGTCCACACTCCATGGCAACAGTCCACACTCCATAGCAACAGTCCACACTCCATAGCAACAGTCCACACTCTTTTCAGCATGGTGACTACCGAAGTGACGATATAATGATGGGTGAACTGCGTGAATCAGACAACAACATCAAGGGCCCTATTTTTACAGTCTCTAACTCTTATTGCAGCATTCCATCAGATCATTGCTAGCATGGTTTGTGAACAGGACTACAACAAACGTACCTTGGGTGGCGATGAACTCCTTTTCACACTTGAAGCCCTGCGAACGGAGAGAAAGAGAGAAAGAGAGAAAGAGAGAGAGAGAGAGAGTGAGTGAGTGAGTGAGAGAGAGAGAGAGAGAGAGAGAGTGAGTGAGTGAGAGAGAGAGAGAGAGAGAGTGAGTGAGTGAGAGAGAGAGAGAGAGAGTGAGGGGAGAGAAAGAGAAAGAGAGCACATGGTATTATGTAAACGTGTGTGTATGTATGTGCGTGTTTTAGGTGTGAATGTGTGCGTAGCAGACATAGCGCAGAAATAATGATGCCGGATACGTATCAATGAGTGTGCAAAGCACTTCAAAGAGTCTAAGCGGAAATCACCTGTTACTCAGACCTGCTGTTCGCAAGATTCGGTGGATCTGGCATGCTTTTTTTTTGTGCCCAGTGCTAGATGAGCACAGCACCAGTGCTTCCGGGAGACCGACTACTGTAAAACATGCAAATTTCGGTGTATTAAAATGTTGGTCCTACTCAACAATGAACCTTCCAAGTTGGAAGGCTGTTGGTTTGCGCACTGGAGGTGTGTAAGAGGTAGGTCTCAGGTCGCTGAATGTCTCATTAGCTTGTCAGTTTCGTGCCCTATTATCGCACTTTCTGACTGTTTATCATCTTGTTACAGTCGTGGAGTAGTTGCTGCATGACTCGTTCTCATGTGTTTCTTCTCTTTTTACAATTATTATATCATTATTACTATTAAAAGCATGTCCGCGTAGGTGGCTCTGTACAAGCGCAGCGGAGCTTTCCCCATCGGGGAGATGATCACAAGGCAGCGCTACAGTCTCACAGGCCATCTCCCTTCGTTTGGTCCCAACTGCTCCTCCAGTCAGTGGCAGTGGATATGTATCTTCGCTTGGTCGACGACGGGGGCACTGAACGCTTCTGGGGTCTACAGACTTGTCAACGGAAATTCATTCGAGGCAGAAAATAAACGGTAAAGATAGAGTGAAAAGGTTTGAAACTCACGCTTAACCAGTTTGCATTGATATAATCAGAGTTGGGATCACCCCCAGTTTGAGAGAGCGCAACTCGAGTATCGTCATCTGCACAAAGCCAACAAACACAACCAAGACTTGTAAGAATTCAACATTGTGTTGGGCTTTATGGTGGTAATGCCTTGGGTTGATGCACACAAAATGTCAAACTCCAGTAAGAACATATTTTAGCCTTGTTCCATTGGAAAGTTGTGTCACTTGGTTCTGCCCTCAGAGTGTAATACCGCTCTCCAAATGTCAAACTCCACAGTAACAACAGATTTTAGCCTTGTTCCTTTGCACAGATGTGTCATTTGGTTCTGCCCTCAGAGCACACAGGTATTATACTGCCAAAGTCCCTACTGTAAGTTCGAGTAGTAACAGAACACGTATATACACACCACAGGCAAACGTTCGAAGACTGATCCATATTAAAGCTATTTGACTGTTACAGAACCATGTGAAAATCAAACTGCTGTATTGTCATGTCTTCCCCTTTGGTTCTGTCTTTCCATTTCGTTCTCTGCTGACGTGTGCACTTCAGTACAAAATTATTAAATAAAATAAATAAATAAAAAACTCACATGCGATGATGTTTGCATAACGATTCTTCAGCTTATTCTCCGGGCGACTGCACACTTCGGCGGCCATCATCTTCGGCGCCAGCTGTTGAATTATCTGCGAAGGAAAGTAGAAAAGTGACAAGGTCAAAGAAGCACCTTAGCTACAATTTCGGTGTGAAGTGTAACCTTTATACTGAGATGAAAAATTGAAATAGAATGATTGCACTCGGAGGAAATGTGAACTTCATGCCCGTGGCAAGTAGCACATAGTGCATGCACTGTCTGGTCCCGCAACGTGGATATGCATGGGTAGAAAAGATGTCACAAGAAATGAGTATGTTGTCAGAGAGGAAGAGGGGAAGAGGGAAAGTCCCTATTGCTGCATGTCTCTGGGGCTGCATGTCCCTGGGGCTGCATGTCCCTGGGGCTGCATGTCCATGGGGCTGCATGTCCCTGGGGCTGCATGTCCGGGGGGCTACATGTCCCTGGGGCTGTGTGTCCCTGGGGCTATATGTACCTTGGGGATGTGTGCGTGTGCCTCAGACTACACACATTCTGAAATGTGCAATGAAAGCATCCGTCTGCCTTATTCATGAAGTTGGCTTTCGCCTCTCATCATTCACAGCATAGCCATACTCACATCATACTCAGCTGCAAAGCCTTCGCTAGCGTACATATCCTGTGCGTGCTTGGGAAACTTCTCCACAGAGATGGGACCCCTGTTGCTCATTGGTTCAACTGCATAGACAGAATTCCACACGTTCTCTTTGCAACGGAGATAAATATATTTTTCCGGGGAACCTTTATGTCCTCTTCTCATTATGTGACCCTTGTAGAGAGTGACTCAGCTATACAGTCCATTCAGAAAAAAATGGGCCCTGGCTCTGGCGAGCTCCCGTATTTGGCGATTTTTCGTGATTTCATTGTACACAGTGCAGTGCTGCGAAATTTGAACTTTGAAAAAGAGTCCAAAAAGGGTACCTGAACTGGGGTTCGAACCCCACAATGCACTGTTGCAGGCAGGGTCAAACGGCCTGGATTTTGATGGTTTTTTCCAATTCAATGCTTCTGGGGCAAAACCTGGCCGATATCCTATTCTTGTTATGGCTTGCTTTTTGGACAAATAGACTTCAGAAACATAATTGGAAGAGGATTCCATAGGGGATTGCAGAAAAAAATTCTAAAAAAACTCAAAGTTTGACCCATTTATGGCCAAAAGCTAGAAGTCCATCTTTTTCTGAATGGACTGTAGAACAGATCATTAAGTCACTTTGAGTAAGTTTTACTGAGGCTTCACTCAAACACAGACAGAGTACAAGAGCTGCAGTGCAGGGGCGGAGAGAGAGAGAGAGAGAGAGAGAGAGAGAGAGTAAGTTACATTTATAAAGACAGGTAAGTCTAACAAATGAGGACTGAGACCTCTACAACAGGGTTTTTACGCCTGAAAGCAGGTGCATGATTTAACAAGCAGGTTGTCAGTCTAGATTTTATGCGCAGATGGAGAAAAAGCGCAGAATTTTTGTAATGAGATGAAAAGCAGAAATAATAAGAAATAATAAGAAAAGATGAAATGAAAGCCTGCTCACAACCCCGCCCAGCCTTGCGAACTGGGTATGGTGGATTAAGAACCCGGTTCAACGCTCGAGCAAGCGCTCTCCACTCAAGGTGTTCACAGCAACTGATAGGAACTCATATGGGGAAATTATAGAAAAGAAATAATAAGATAAAGAGAATAAATTTCAACGCACCTCAATAAACGGAGCCCCACATACAGTACCTCAGAAAAGTGGATCTTCCGACCAGTGTTTTTGTTGACGCCGCAACCAGATGATGTAGCTGCTTCGCAGAGACGTCTTACTGCACAAATTACAAATAAATTTTATTCTTCGATTAGAAAATCCAAGCGCTTTCAGAGCCCTCCGAAGAGAGTCCGGGATGAAACCACGCACACCTGCCTCAACCGAAAAAGAAACGACCTGCCACCCGTTTGCTCGGCATTGATCGGCCAGATCCGCATACCGCCTGTCCTTCCGCGAGTTACTGACACTGAATCTGTCCTCAGCACAAACTGTCAACTCCATCCAGAATACAATCCTACGACTCGTAGAGTACAGAACTATATCTGGTCTTAGGGTGGTAAGTGCAACACAGCTAGGGAAAGAAATCTTTGCACTAACTGAGTCGACAAGAAGTTTCCAGTCTGAGGCCGCTGACAGGAGATCAGTCGTAACCAACTTTCGTCTGGGCTGAACGCGAACTGGCTTCTCTCCCGCCTTGCAAAACGAGATGAAGTCAAGCTCATTTGAATTTTCGGTTTGTACGGTGTTTGCAGCAGTGCGGATTCGAATCTCCTCACGCATGTTCCTGACGATGACCCCGAGTACGTTGTCGTGCCTCCAGGTGTAACGTCCCTGGTCCAGCGCTACGCGACAAGCGCCAAGCACGTGGCGCGTAGTACAGGCCCAGGTACGGCACAAACTACAGTACGGATCCACTACGGTGTTTCCCCAACGGCGTAGGTTCGTCGGAGAAGGTAGCACGTCGAGGGTTGATGCGAGAAGAAATTTCAAATCCTTACCAGTACCACCGTACAAAAGGGATTTCCACGAGAGGTCCTGCCACATCACCGATGTCCACTCCAACCACTTGCCTTGCACCTGAAGAGTCTTCAGCCTCAAAATCTGCTCCTGCGCGTTGATCTCCTCAAATGTTTGAAGGAGATCCTTCCTCGGGGGTTTGGAATGCTGCTTCGGAGCACGAGCACCCAACCCTGCACGATGACTTGAAGATGACGGTGGACGGAGAGTCCCTGAACCTACTGATGCCTCTGCACACTCCAGCTCTATTGTCGCCGCATATCGCTTTGTCAGCTTCGCATCCTTACTCCGACGCAGAGTGTACAGCGCCCTCATGCGCGCGTCCCCACTCGATCGAAGAATGTGCCATTTGATGGACTGGCACTTTTTCCACACCGTAGGAAGGTAGTGGAGGCGTAAGCCAAAGCGTTTGCGACTGCCAATAAAAAGAATG